CGGAATCGCGTTGTGAAACCGCGATATCTGCCCGGCGTGACTGGGGTGCCATTAGAAGCAAATGGCACCCACAGTGCGATAGTCAGTGATGGGCAACTCCGTGACCGCATTGCCTAGGTTTGCACTGGCCCTTAAGGCTAGGTTCACACCTAGGCGATTTATAGCGCAGGTTTAGCTGCGCGACATCACACAAAACAGAGATTTGCATTCAAAGCTATGGAAGCTGTTTATACCTCGCGGTAGAAATCACCTGCCATGCAAAAAGGTGCAGGAGCCATTTTCAGGCAGTTATCGCGCCCCCATACACATCTCTATGTGACAACCATGATTTGCTTTTAACGCAAAATCGCAGCAAACAAAGATGCGCGACAACCGCACGAAAAAAGCTCACCAGCTCATTCGCCTAGGTGTGAACCTAGCCTAAGGGAAAGTAATGCCTAGGTGTGAACAGGCACTTAGGGCTGGTTAGTGGCCGGAACGCACTGGATCACATAATTGAAGCCTCTTGCAATCTGGGGCAGGAGGCGGAGTGGTGGTGCCATTCATGTCAATGGCACTGCAGCCACAACTACCATCCACAGTGCAATCGCCAACAGCAGAACGCGTAGTACAGCAAGGCCGCAGTCCGGTGCGGTGTGAACGCAAAAAAATAGTGCTTTCTCTAACCATGCTGGAACGCACTGGATATAGTGTGAACACGCCCTAAGGGAGCCCTTTCTCTAGAGTTGACAGCTACTTAGGAAAGAACCTCTACCCTGAGCTATTCCTGCTACATCACTTCTGGTACCCTGACCAACACCCTCATCACACCTCCATCATTATATCTCCTCAGGTCAATTTTATTTCCATTCATAAGTCTTTTGGGGCTCCAGTTGCTTTTGGTGTATAGCCAAGGAGTTGCCGTTCACACAGCACTAATGCCCTACATGGCGCTGAGGAGTATAGGAATTTTCTCAGCACCATCTAGGGGCAGTAGTGCTGTGCGAGTGGCATAGCCGGGTGGAACTTTTCTAAATGAAGCCCATAGTGACCAGTATTAGCATAGTTGCTTTGCTTATTGAATGTAAGTATACCGATTTTGTGGCGTTTAATTAAATTTAACCATTTGTGTGATTTAAATGCTGAAAGTAGCTAGTTCATTTGTAATGTGTATTACCGTATCTGTGTGGCTAGGACCCCTAACTGATACAAGCATATGTATCTGCAATATGTGGTACCTGAACGAGGGTATGCGTGGGTACCTGAACAAGCAAATCCTCAACCCTCTTAACTACAGGTGCACCTAAATGAAAATGTTAAAACCGAAACGAAACCGAAATAAAAAAAAAGACCAAATTGATCGCTGAGTGTCTGTACCCGCTCTCCATCCTGGATTGGTGGTGCGGGGAGGAGATCTCGATCTGACAGTTGACTCCTCCCCCGTAGCGACGGGATATATGTCTCCGCCCCTAAAATGCCGATCTCTTGATCTGTGACAGAGATGCTGGCCGCTCACATCGCTCTGCTCCCGCATGCGCTCGGCCGCCTGTCACAGTTTCTCTCCTCCCAGCTGGGACACAGAGCAGCGCCCAGCGGGGAGGAGAGAACAGGATGCACCGCTATTTTGAGCAAAAAATTTCACTTTCGGCATTTTGCCAAAAGTGCCATTTTCGGACGTTACGTTTCGGCGGCCGAAATATCGGTGCGTCCCTACTCTTACCCATATTTCACATATGTAAACAGAAAGGAACTTATTGGAATCAGGGCTTTTAACAAAAAAAAAAATTCAAAACACGCCACTGAGATATTTTTTAAAGGAATGCATGATTGAGGACAGATTGTTATAGTTCCCATTTGTATTTTCCAGTTTCATGTTTCCATAAAGGAAAACGTTAGTCGTTGAAAACATCAGTAATCTTACTTAAGATCACACTCTGGGTCAGTCGTTCTTGTCCAGAGCTCCTCTAGAGGTTCCTTGAGAAGTGTACAGTGACAGATTGGCTTCCCACCTGAGAGCGTCTGTATAGTTCCAACATCAACATCACTCAACAGAGCCAATGACATGGGACTAGTGATCAGTAACTACGGCAACCAATGCTTTTTTTAAAGCTGTCTGTTAGGAGGCAACTCACTGCTCACCGATGTAAGGAGCATGCTTCTCGCTGACCACCAATTACACATGTGCGATTCGTTTAGTTCCAAATTGAAATTCAGACAAATATGTGCAAAATCAGACAGACATTCGGATTCATCCGAGTTTCTGAAAAAAAGAAATAACCAATCCGAATGTATCTGAAGTTTTCCGATAATGAAATTCGAATGCATCCAACATGTTTTCCATATGTCATGTTAAAATAAAATACAAACAGCGTGGACGCCAAAAAAACAGAAAAAAAATCTATGGGGTCCCCCCTAAAATCCCTTACCAGACTCTTGATCCGAGCAGCAGCCTGGCAGAGCAGGAAAAGGTGGGAGATAAGTGTGAGCCCCCCCCCCCCCCCTTCTGCACCATACCAGGCCACATGCCCTTAACAGGGGGAGGGTGCTTTTCCAGGGGGGAAACCTTGTCCCCTTGTCGATTAGGACAAGGGCCTCTTCGCCACAGCCCTGACCCGGTAGTTGTGGGGGTCTGCGGGCAGGGGGGGCTTATCTGTATCTGGGTGCCCCCTTTCATAAAGAGGGCCCCCAGATGCCTCCCCTCCTTGTGAAGGAGTAAGGGGTAGTTGTTGCCCTTACTCATTCACCAAATACAGTAAAAGTGTAAATTAACACACACCATGAGAAAAAAGTTTGAAAAAAAAACACAGATGTTGACAATTTAAAAAAAAAATGTCCATTGATGTAATCCAGAGGTCCAGCGATGTAGATCCTCGTCAATCACGATGGACGAAGGCTACCAACTCGCCAAAAGAAAAAATACCCAACGCCCGCCGACATGACCGATCCCGACGAACTCTCAACACAAAATGACAGCTTTGCTCCCAAATGTCAACAAAGGGGCGAAGCAAGTCATGATGTCACAGGACTTGTTTAGTCTCCCTTTGATAACAGCTTTCCACCCCTTTGTTGACAATCGGGCTAGGGCTGTCATTTTGCGGCAAGAATTCTTCTGGATGGATCGTGTCTGCTGGCGTCGGGTATTTTTTCTTTTGGAGAGTCGGCGCCTGTCGTCCATTGTGATTGACATGGATCTACATCGCTGGACGACATGATTGACCTTTGGATTTCATTGATGGACGTTTTGTTTGTTTTTTCTAAAAAAAGATTTGTCAAAAGCCTTTGTTGTGTTTTTTTTTTTTAAAGGATTCTTCTTAGGCCCCATTCACACTCACTGCGCGATTTGCAAATTGCGCGTTTGTCGCGCGATTTGCATTTTGCGCGATATCGCGCAAAGGCATGCATTGAGCAAGTGAGAATCGCGGCAAAATCTGCTCCAAAAAGGGTCCTGCTGTAGCGACACACGACCCGTGACAGCAGGACCCTTTGCCCCATTGAGATGCATTGAAGAGCGATATCGCGCGGTAAATAGCCGCGATATCGCGGGAATTACCGTGCGATAAATTGCTCAATGTGAACGGTGCTTTACAGTGTGGTGGGTTTATATATAATTTTACTGTTTATTTGGTGAATGAGTAGGGGTAACAACTACCCTTTACTTATTCAAAAGGGGGGGTCGGCATCTAGCTGCCCGTTTTATGAAGGGGGTACCCAAATGCAGATAAGCCCCCCCTGCCCTCAGACCCCCACAAGCAATGAAAAACGCAATGGATCACAGTGGTGTGAACTGGTTCCATTCACATACACATATTTTTGGGTTACCGTCTATTGGTATCTGTTGACATCCACCATAGGCATACGCACAGGGTTTGCCGTGTAATCACCCCGAGTACAAATCCGAAACTGCAACAGTGGGTGCCATGTTTTTAGTCACTGAAAGATCTCTCTGTTAACGGCTCTGCGCTACAAAACACAGCAGCATTTGCCACTTACATTCCTCACATAACAGCCACAGTCTTCTGTGCTTGGGAAGCTGGGAGGGAGCGTGGCTGCAGCTTCTCAGGCTTCCCAATCAGGCAATCCAATCAGGAAGCTGGATGGTGGTCACATGACCACCTGCCAGTCTCCCTGCTTCATTGCTGCACCCCTGCTGGAAGAGGTAAGGGACATGTAAAGAGATAGGAATCTGGGATGCCTCAGGTCTGTGTATGTATGCATTATATATATATAAAACCGTGTGTGTTTGTACTTTTGTGTGCACACCGGAATGCAATAGGCTGCGCACGCCTATGACATCCATGGAAGAACGGATGCTTACGGACACAGTGTGAATGGGGCCGGAAAGAGAAGCCGATGATGATCTCATCTCTGTCACTCTGCTCTCCCCTCCTGTTAGCATGTACCTTATTAGCACATGAACCCCTGGGGGAGAGACAGGCTGGGGGGAGGGACAAGACTTGTAAATGTTACTTTACTGCAGCAGAGAAAAAACAGGTCTCCCTCTCTGCCTGACAGGTTTGTGCTGCATGACAGAGCCATGCAAATCTCAAGACCGAATGAACAAAAAATACAAATCCCAAAACAGTAACATTTTGTCCAAATTCAGCATCAGTTCAGCTTTCATTTATTACGAGCCGTTGGAAAGATCCCCAGAAGGTTTTATTCCGCGGGGTTGTTCGTCACTGTCTTTATTCTTAGCCCTCCCAGTGACATGCTACTTGTTTTTGTTTTGAGCACTTTTTTTTGGCTTGCTCTTTGCTGCCTTGCTTATGACTTGACACGCTACGGCTTACACGTCTGTGGTTTGTTTTGCAGCTCGGTGTCTGGTGGTCGGTGAGGAATGATGCTGCAGTTGTGGAGGGAGCAGCAGCAGCAGTCGGGGAAGGATCTGAGCCTCTCTGAGCCATGATTGGAGAAAGAAAGAGACCCATTCAAGTCTTGGAGCCTGGACTGTGAGCACTGCCAGTGACTGAGTCAGTGCACAGCTCTCCATCCACACAGCACGGCGCGCTCGCTCACTCGCAGGGAGATATTACACATACATATTTAGACTGGCTGCCCCTCCAGCCAGCAAAGCATCCAATTCAGCCAGCCTGTATCCAGCCGCCTCCTCCTTCTTCCACCGCTGCTGCTTCTTCTTCACTTCCTAAAGCCCCCCATCCACGGATCTAAAAAGCTCCGCTCATTCCACGCACTCGGTAAGTCTTTACAACTTTTTAAAACTTTTTTGTCGTGTTCCCCCACCCCCCCTTGTTTCGGCCTTTCCTGACATTTTTGTTTTCCATATAAAACTCTTACGCTCCGCAGCTAATCTCTTTTTTTATTTAAGACACATGTTGCAACATTGTTTTTTTATTTTTATTACGCCCGTCAAGAAACTGTCAAGCAAGGCAACAGCCTGGAAAACTTACACAGCTTCTTTTTGTGTGACTTTGGTGTGCTTTTGGAGAGTCGGAGGCTTGAGGTACCCCCATCCTCCCCTCCAACCCCAATCGACCACCTCCAACATCAATCCCATGGCAAGACTTTTACAATCATACGGTAACACGATATTCATGGACCGATTGGTGGCGATGGCGGCCGGGAAATCGGCAGATCCCGGGTGGATGGGGGGGTGGGGGAGGGAGTTGGATTGTCAGTCTCGAGCGGTGCGTTTTGACAGATTTTTTTTGGTCGCTGGGTTTAATCAGCCGCTGAGTTGAGGAAGTTACACGTGACGTTTTTTGTGAGCGGCTCTCGGTCGTATCGCTAGAATGGGATTATATGATTTTATAGGTTCTTTTATTTTTCGCTTTTTATCGCTTTTTTTTTATTTCGGTCGTTTAATGCGCGCTTTGAGACGGGGATGAATGGTGATGTGTAAAACAGAACAGGAGCGAGAAATCGAGACCCATCGCAGAGCGACTATCTGTGATTTAGCCAGACGGGACGGTTAATAACTCCTGCGTCTCGCGTTACATTATTCGCGAGGTTTTATTGCAAGGTTTACTGAACTTTTTTTGTTTTTTTACTGGAAGAGATGATATAAGTCGGACATACCAGATAATGCTAGACATCCAAATCTATATATCTATATCTATATACAGTATATACCGTATATAGATATATAGATATATATCTATATACAGTGTATAGCTGATTGGCTACTATGAGCAACTGCTCCAGATTCTGTCTGCTCCAGTTTTGACAAATTCATATACAACTGTATACAAATGCATATAAATGTATACAAAAGTCTATACAGGTATATAAATGTATCTAATGGTATATCAATATAAATACAGGTATATAAATGTATACAAATTTAAATACTGGTATAATGTATACAAAAGTCTATAAAGGTATATCAATGTTTACAAATGTATATAAATATATACAAATGTATATGCAGGTACATAAATGTAAACAACGGTATATAAAGGTATGTAATACATATACATGTCTTTCACACGTAACATAAAACTACGTTGATATAAAACTGTATATAAATGTATATAATCCGTATAATAAAACGCTTCTTTGTGGTAGTTCAGGAAATTCTACAGAAGTGAATTCTTTAAAAAAATTATTATCGGATGTTTGCAATTCTTTTATAAGAGAGCGCACTCTCCAATCTTCCCTGTGTGCTCCTATTTTCTTTCACCTGCCATAGTCCTGGTACATCCAATCAGTTGACTCGGGCTGGAGGAATCTTAGGAGCCAGGTCGCCAATTTAAAAAAAATTAAAGCCGGCGCCCCACTTTTTCTCTAGTTTGTTGTCAGTGGAGCCGACGTCTAGAAAAGATCCGGCAAGCGCCTGGATTGGAGAGCCTGGCTCCTAAATTCCGTATTCATTTGCCCACCCCTGGGTTAGCTCACCTAGGAAGCGGCATTGGCACAGTAACCAATCAGGTGCCAGCTTACATTTCTAACCTTGCCTCGAGTCTGGCCGGCTGCTCTGGGCCTTGACAAAACCTTGAGGCCGACGCGCTGTTTTGGCATCGGCGCAGCAAGTAACGCCGGGGAGTTCACAAATGGTCGCTGATGATGGGATCACTTATGAAACAATTTAGGAAAGTTACATAAAAAAAACCTGATCCTGCTTTGCATAAAACAAAGTGATACCACATGAGACGTCTTCACCCCCATAGAGAAATGTTGCGTGTGTTGCATGCTTTGTATTGAGCACAGCTTCTCGTCTTGTTTCGTTATTCTTGCGCAGGCTCTTGAAGTATAGATCACACCAATGTAGGGTTGCCACCTGTCCAGGATTGACCCGGACAGAGAAGGTGGCAACCCTACACCAATGTAAATCTTTGGCTGTGATGTTGCTGAACTTATAGAACCCTTGGTGCCCAACCTGTGGCCCTGGGGGGCAGATGCGGCCCCTTGATTCTTACTGTGCAGCCCTTGGACCCCAGCAGTCAGGAGCAAGACTATTGGGGCTGTAATGGAAGTGAAAGACACACGATCCCAGTCTCTGACTATCCCGGGCAACCAATCTCTAATGACACCTGTAAAAGGTCCGCAGCCTCTAACCATCTCCTGTAATATGCCTGCTGTCTCTGACATATACTGGCTGCCCCTCCAGCCAGCAAAGCATCTGACATATACTGAATATGAAGGGTGGCCCCTTGGTGCTGTCAGGGGCCCCTTTACCTTGTAAGGTGATCACCACTGGTATAGACAGTGAGGTTAGAATGTGTTGTGTATTGCTAAAGTTGAACTCGGCACGAAAACTTCCATAGAAACATATTCCTCATTAGCCAATTGTGTGCTCCAAATGCCTTTGCAAACCCAGATATGACCCTGTAAAAGTAGCAGTGACATCATCACTGTGCTGTACATATTCTGTGCAGAGAGGGGAGATGTGGGAGCAAGCAGGGCCCACCCACTACAGGAGGGGGAGGAGACGAGACCAGTCACCCTTCGCAAGGAGAGAGAGCAGCAGTGACTGGTCTTTATTACAGGAGGGGGAGGAGACAAGACCAGTCATCCTTCACAAGGAGAGGGAGCAGCAGTGACCAGTCTTTATTACAGGAAACTCCTAGTATTGCACCAATCTTTAAAAATCAAAGCTAGAAGCTGATTGGTTGCCATGCTCCAGATTCTGTCTGCTCCAGTTTTTAATGAATTCTCTTCAGTCTGTTTATAAAGCTGATTATTTGACTAGCCTTCCCTCCAGCCCTACAGCTGTGCTTTAACTACAAATCCTAGCATGCCTCTGCCTCTGGGAGTCATGGTTGCCAGAATGTTGCAATGCCTCATGGGACTTGTAGTTCCACAGCAGCTGGAGGTCCAAAGTTGCCCACCGCTGCCTTATGATATGAAACAAGCCAGGAAAACACAATCGGGTTCTATGTATCTGTGTCCCGTCCATTCTGTTTCCTGATTTGTCGGGACTGGTGTCAGCATGGAGGCACGAGGCCTATACTGCCAGTTCTGAACTGCTGCAAGTGTTGCCCTAGCTGATTTATGAAGGCCGGGGCAAGGAAAGGAGGACCCTATTGGAAGTGTTGCCCCTAGCAACCAATGACAAAATGTCCTTGGTTGTCCTGGCAGATTTTGCAAAGCTCGCTTCACGTGTTTTGCACACGTATTGTCACATTTGCTGTCCTGTTTGAAGAAAAGATGAAACCTGGCTGGTTGCTATGGGCAACAGCTGCACTTTTGTTTCATAAGCCCCACCAGACGCGTCCATCTTGCTCCATGGTGTCATTGTGAAGCGGCTCAGTAAGTGACTGTCATGTACTGTACACTTCACGCCTCGGGCAATGGCCGGCTTCTCACAAGACGTGTATGAAAGGAGATAGGGCACTTAGACTCCCTGCCAGAGGAGCAGCACAGGAAGGTCACATCCCGAGCTGGTTTATTAAGAAAACATGCGGATCAGTCGCTGGGGAGAAAAGTTCAACTTTCCCTCCTCGCCGGCCCGCGCTGCGCTCTATAACAAGAAGCTCACTGTAGGGGCTGGAAAACGTAACTTGTTACAGATGCCCTGCGCCATTAATTGTACGCAGCCGGCGCTTCTCCAGTCATCAGATTAGAAGGTGCGCAAAGCGTTTTTAAGCCGCATTCACAAATGCGCGTTCTGTGAACGCACGCCAAAGCACGCATTTTCGTGTGTGCGTTTGGTGCGCGTTCACAGAAACGGAGCAAAACGCACAACACTCTTGCATTGCCATTCATTTCGAATAGGCATGTCAGCTGCTGAAAAATTTGGTTCATTTTACGTTATTACGTTATTTCGGGATTCGGATCCGAAATCCAGTTCGGTTCGGGTTTCGAATTCGGACAAAATCTGAATTTTCGTTAGTTTCGGATGAGTTTACAAATTTTTGTTGCGAATACCACAGAAAACCATATACATATATTTCTAAAACTGAGGCTCTTAGACCTGAATGGCATTCAGAAGCTCCCGAATGCAATTCCAAAATTCGGTTCCCGAATGCCATTCGGGTCTGGGAGCTTTAGTATTATATGTATATACTGTATATGGCTCCCATGTTGCCGTAACGAAAATTCATGTTCAGACCCATTCGGATGCATTAAACCGAAAAACACATCTGATTGGCCAGAAAAGTCACATGTCTGATTCAATTTTGTTTTTGAACGAAATTTAGACGGGATCCGAAATTCGGAAACGGAAATTTCGGATTCGGATGCATTGGGATTCGGAAATTTAGATGTGTCCGAATGTCTGATTTTCGGAAAACTCATCCGAATTTCGATTCGTAACGAAACGAATCGCAGATGTCTCATTTCTAATGGCACCCCAAACACGACCAGGAAGACACACATGTTTTTGCTCCACGTTTGCACTCATTAAAACACGCACAAATGCGGAAGCAAAAAACGCGGAATTTGTGTCCAAAAATCTGCTATATGAGCTTCTTTGCCACATTTGTCACGCGGGCAGGCCCCATTGAACTCAATGTGGATGTGCTGCAAATGTGCACGAATGTTTGTGAATGTTGATGCGTGAATGCGGGCTTACTGAAAGGCTCTCAGGCGTATTGTACCGGGTTTGTTTTTTTCTGTGTCATGTGACTTAAAGGGTATGTACGCCGTCTCTACCCTGAGTGAGTTGCTGCTGATAGTCTTGTCGTGGAGAGGGGGGTGTGGCGACGGATGCGATGGGACGGGTGGCTATGTTAGAGCTGTGTTGTTAGCGGCTCTCTGTCCGGTCCTGCCCAGCTCACAGATGTCATTGGTTGCC